TTGCTACTCCTTCTTTAGCTCTAACTCTATTTGAAACCCCTGACCTAATCCCATTTATTCCTCTCCATTGAAACTCTCCCACCCCCTTCAGCTTTGTTTCACTTAAAGCCAGGACATCCAGTTTCTTCTCATTCATAACATCCACAATCATTTCTTTCTTATCATTTGCACAACATCCACGCACATTCAGACTTTCCACTTTGACAATTTTCTTCTTCTTATTCTTTTTAGTAATCTTTACAGGAAAAGGGGTTACTAGCCCATTGTTCCCGGCATTTTAATAATAATAATAATAATAACAGATGTATTTCCAGATGACAATTTTTTTTTTTTTAACAAGTTGGCCGTCTCCCAGTGAGGCAGGGTGACCCAAAAAGAAAGAAAATCCCCAAAAAGAAAATACTTTAATCATCATTCAGCATTTTCACCTCACTCATACATAATCACTGTTTTTCCAGAGGTGCCCAGAACACAACAGTTTAGAAGCATATACATATAAAGATACACAACGTATCCCTCCACACGGCCAACATCCCAAACCCCTCCTTTAAAGTGCAGGCATTGTACTTCCCATTTCCAGTACTGAAGTCCAGCTATATAAAAATAACTGGTTTCCCTGAATCCCTTCACTAAATATTACCCTGCTCACACTCAAACAGCTTGTCAGGTCCCAAATACCATTCGTCTACATTCACTCCCAACACACTCATGCATGCTTGCTTTAAGTCCAAGCCCCTCGCCCACAAAACCTCCTTTATCTCCTCCCTCTAACCTTTTTGAGGACGACTTTCTTTCCCTGCAGATTTATATGCTCACCATGTCATTCTACTTTGATCCATTCTCTCGAAATGACCAAACCACCTCAACAACCCCTCTTCAGCCCTCTGACTAACACTTTTATTAACTTCATACCTTCTCCTAATTTCCACACTCTGAATTCTCTGCATAATGTTTACACCACACAAAGCCCTTAGGACATTTCCACCGCTCCCAACCACCTCCTCGCTGCAGCATTTACAACCCAAGCTTCATACTCATATAAGAGTGTTGGTACCACTATACTTTCATACATTCCCTTCTTTGCCTCCATAGATAATGCTTTTTGTCTCCACATATACCTCAATGCACCACTCACCTTTTTTCCTTCATCAGTTTTATGATTAACCTTATCCTTCACACATCCATCCACTGACACGTCAACTCCGAAATATCTGAAAACAGTCACTTCTTCCATACTACTGCTCTCCAATTTGACATCCAATTTTTCTTTATTTAAATCATTTGATACCCTCATCACCTTACTCTTTTCTATATTCACTTTAAAATTTCTACCTTTACACACACTCCCAAACTCGTCCACTAACCTTTGCAATTTTTCTTTAGAATCTCCCATAAGCACAGTATCATCAGCAAAATGTAACTGTGTCAATTCCCATTTTGTATTTGATTCCCCATAATTTAATCCCACCCCTCTCCCGAACACCCTAGCATTTACTTCTTTTACAACCCCATCTATAAATATATTAAACAACCATGGTGACATTATACATCCCTGTCTAAGACCCACCTTTACCGGGAAGTATTCTCCCTCTCTTCTACACACCCTAACCTACACACACTAACATATATTTAAACATATGGAGTTTATTATATTTCAGGTCACTTTTTATATTTTATCTTTATAGTATATGCTTCTAAACTGTTGTATCTGGGCTCCTCTGCAAAAACAGTGATTATTTATGAGTGAGGTGAAAGTGTTGAATGATGAAAGTATTTTCATTTTGGGGATTTTTCTTTTTGTGTCACCCTGCCTAGGTGAGAGATGGCCAACTTGTTGAAAAAAAAAAAATCTTTGAAAGAGAGAGATTATTACATAATCATGAAAGGGAACATTAAAACCTAATATTTATGTAGTGTGCAATTAACTTTGTGTAGTAATAGGAATAGAGTCTATTCTTGTGGTATCCAGCTTCCATAAAGTTATCAAACAAGCTTTTAAAATTCCCAGTGGCTTTATCCCATGCTATTTCTTCTCTGACTTCACTGCAGCCATTAGCCACTGGGTTTTTTTTAACACTGACTTAACTTCTTAATTTTCTTACTGCTGGCAACAAGTAATAACTTGTGTCTCTTTTTCACATCAATTTATGAAACCATACAGTTCAGCATGTGCATTAGTTATATCAATTTCTCCTGTTTTTGTTAGACCAACTACATAAGGCTCCTTTTTCATTACACCTTTTAATTTTTAGTCTTCTCATATGCTGTATTTCATTAACCTCCTGAGTCAGTCATTGATACATTACGTGGATGCTATCTCATCTTAGTGCCTATTCAACTGATGCATAATCTTGACACTTATTTCCTAAATAAGGGCTAACTCTAAGGGATAGCCAATTCATGTTTCTGTTTCAAAAGCAACTTGGGAGATTCTAAAGAGAAGTTACAGAGGCTGGTGGATGAATTTGGTAGAATATGCAAAAGAAAAAAATTAAAAGTGAATACAGGAAAGAGTAAGGTTATGAGGATAACAAAAAGATTAGGTGATGAAAGATTGGATATCAGATTGGAGGGAGAGAGTATGGAGGAGGTGAATGTATTCAGATATTTGGGAGTGGATGTGTCAGCGGATGGGTCTAAGAAAGATGAGGTGAATCACAGAATTGATGAGGGGAAAAGGGTGAGCAGTGCACTTGGGAGTCTGTGGAGACAAAGAACTTTGTCCTTGGAGGCAAAGAGGGGAATGTATGAGAGTATAGTTTTAC